GGAAGATGCCCAACCAACTGAGCCACACCAGTCAAAGCGATTTTATTGATCTTTTGTAACTTTTAAAAGAATCTATTTTGCTTATCTCTACTCTGATCTTTATTATTTCCTTTCTTCTACTCCCTTTGGGCTTTGTTTGTTATTTATCTTTAGTTTCTTTGTTTAGTTTGTTTATTTGAGGTTTTTCTTGTTTCTTGAGGTAAGTTATGAATTTCCCTCTTAGGACTGCTTTTGCTCTGTTCCATAGATTTTGAGTTGTTGTGTTTTCGTTTTCATTTGTTTCAAGTTATCTTTTGATTTTTTTCCCTTGATCTTGTTAATCCACTCATTGTTTATTAACAAGTTATTTAGCCTCCATGTTTTTGTGCATTTTTCAGTTTTTTTCTTCTGATTAATTTCTAGTTTCATGATATTATGGTCAGAGAAGATGCTTGATATTATATCAATCTTCTCATATTTGTTGAGATTTGTTTTGTGGCCTAACATGTTTGTCCTAGAAAATGTCTCATGTGCATTTGAAAGCAATGTATATTCTGCTGCTTTTGGGTGACATGCTCTGAAAATATCAAAACTATCTTGTGTAGTGTTTCATTTAAGGATTCTGTTGTTGATTTATGTCTGAAAAATCTCCATTAATGTAAATGGGGTGTTGAAGTCCCCCACTATGAGTGTATTGCTGTTGCTCTCTCCCTTTATGTCCATCATTATTTGCCTTATATATTTAGATGCTCCAATGTTGGGTGCCTAAATGTTTATAAGGGTTATATCCTTTTGTTGGATTGGTGCTTTTATAATTATGTGATGTCTTTCTTTATGTCTTTATTTCAAAATCTGTTTTGTCTGATATAAACATTGACACCTCAGCTTTTTGGGGGGAAAGGGGGAGTTTCGATTTGCATGCAGTATCTTTCTCTGTTTTTACTGTCAGTCTCTGTGTTTCTTCAGATCCGAAATGGGTCTCTTGCAAACAGCATCAATATGGGTCTTGTTTTCTTTTCCTTTCAACTGCCCTGTACTTTTTTATTGGAGGTTTTAATATAGTCACATTTAAAATTATTAATGGTACATATTTATTGCCTTTTTATTAAACATTTTTCCTTTTTTTCCTTAAAGAAGTCCCTTTAACATTTTTTGTAATACTGATGTGTTGGTGATGAACTCCTTTAACTTTTTCTTTCCTGGGAAACTTTTTATTTCTCCAATTTTAAATGACAGCCTTGCTGGGTAGAGTAGGCTTGGTTGTAGGCTCTTGATTTTCATCACTTTGAATATTTCATGCCAATCTCTTCTCACTGAAATGTTTCTGCTGAGAAATCAGTTTTATCAGAGCTCCCTTGTAAGTAACTGTCTTTCTCTTACAGCTTTTAAGATTCTCTCTTTGTCTTTAACATTTGTCACTTTAATTATGATGTGTCGTGTTGTGGGCCTCTTTGGGTTCATTTTGTTTGGGACTCTGTGCTTCCTGAACTTGTGTATCTTTTTACTTCACCAGGTTATGGAAATTATTGGCCATTATTTCTTCAAATAGATTATTGACCCCTTGCTTTCTCTCTTTTCCTTCTGGTACTGCTATGATGAAGATAGTATTATACTTGATATCATTCCAGAAGTCCCTTAACTATCCTAATTTTTAAAATTAATTTTGTCTCTTTACTGCTCTGATTAGGTGTTTTCTGCTCCCTTGTCTTCCATATTGTTGATTCTGTTATGTGCTTCATCTAATCTACTGTTGATTCCTTCTAGTGTATTCATTTCAAGTATTATATTTTCATTTTTTAAATTTTTTTGTGGGTTCTATGCCTTTTCTCATGCTTATTATCTGTTTGTTAAAGTTCTCACTGAGTTCATCTGCTCTTCCCCTAAGTTCCCTGAGCATCCTTATAACCATTGTTTTGAACTCTGTATCTGGTAGATTCTTTGCCTCTATCATTTAGTTCTTCTTCCGGGGATTTCTCCTGTTCTTTCATTTGTGACATGTTTCTTTGTCTCTTCATTTTGGCTGCCTCTCTCTATTTGTTTCTTTGAGTCAGGTAGATCTTCTATGTCTCCCAGTCTTTCTACGGTGGCTTTATTTAGTACATGTCCTGTGGGGATCAGAGCTGCAGTCTCCCTGATCCCCTAATCTAGGTGCTCCAGGAATGTCCCTTATGTGAGCACTGCTGCTGTAGTTGAGTCTTGATTGTTGTTGGCCTGTCTGTAGGTTGGGTTGGGCCTCAGGCTGGCTGACTGTGAGGACTGACCCCAACCACAGTATATGAGTGGTGGTGCATAGGCTGACCCCACAAAACAGAATTTGCTGCAGCAGGGTCTGGTGCCCGATGAGATCTCCCTTCGGATGTGCTGCTTGTGGTGCTAATCAGGTTGTACTCTGATGTGGTCTGTAGCCAGTTACTGGTTGTGTTTGTTCTGGGACCTCTAGGGAGGGACTCAAGTGCACGTGAACGTCAGACACTGCCTGTGACCATCCCTGGGCTACTGGTTAGATGCTACAAAGAGATCCACAGTAGGTGGCTTCCTCTGCTGGGCCTGGGTACACGTGGGAGGGGTCAAGCTACATACCAAGGCTGGTTTCCACGAGTACTGAGCCTGGGTCAGGACACAGTAGGTCCAAGGCCCCCCCAAATCTGCCTCTACCTGCCAGCTGCCTTTTATGCTTAGCCTCTGAAAGAGCCTCTGGCAGTATGTGAGTTGCATGAGGTAGTTTCTCAGTGAGTCACCAGGGAGGGTTGAGTGGTATTCACCAGGTTGGTACAGATTCAAACTTAGCACCAGTGCTGGATCTGACGCCACTCAGTGAAATTCTCAGGGTACACCAAGGCCAGCCCCTCTCGCCTGGGACCTGTGAAATTCTGCAGTGGCATAGGGCCTCAAGGGGTCATCAGGGTGAGACCAGTAGAATTCATCAGCCTAAAACAGATTAAAATTTGGCTGTGTGGAAGGAGGGTTCTACGCAGGAACAATGGTGCTGGTTGAAGCGCACGGGGAAAAATGGCCCTCACCCAAAAGCCTCACAACTGTCTTTCCCTGAGTGTCTCCAACACCCCTGGAGTCTGCTCAGACTTCCTTGAGAGCCTTCCAGGAAAGACTGTAGTGGGCCCAGGCTGCTTGCAGCCAGCACAGTCCTTGCAGGGCACGAGCTTGGCAGGGCGAGACCACAGGGAGTTGAGAGTGTGGGGCTAGTACATCTCCCCAGGCTGATGCCACGGGGGCAGTGCTAGTTGAGCCCTCGGGGTGGACAAACAGCCCTTGACTTAAAGCCATTCCACTCAGCCTCTCCCTGTGCATCTCTGACAGACCTTGAGTCTGCCCTGACCTCCTCGAGAGCCTTCCAAGAAAGACTTCAGTGGGACCAGGATGGCTGCAGCTTGCTGAATCCTCTGCAGGATGTGAACTTGGCAGGGCAGGGCCACCAGCAGTTGGGAGAGTGGGAGGGGTGCATTCCCCAAGGCTGACGCTTTATGGAAGGGAGTGCTCAAACCGGGAAAGATGGCGTCTGTGGGCGGTGTGGGATAGGGACTCCGCGCAAGGATAATAGAGGCTGTCCCTTCAGCCCTCTCCTCTAAGCCACACAACCCACTATCTCCCTATGTGACTCCAGTCCCCTTTGAGTGGCTGTTCTGTTGGAGCCCGGGGTGAGCATCTGTGAATGTGATTTTGTGCACAGGCCCTTTTAAGAAGGCTTCTGGGTTTCTAGCAGTCTCCCATCTCACCTTGGCAGGTGAAATCTGCACTGATTTCCACAAGCAGATGTTATGTGAGTTCCTCTTCCAGGCACTGGTGCCCTGGGCTGGGGAGCTCAGCATGGGGTGGAGATCCCTTGCTTTTCAGTGGTGACTTTTGCAGCTGAGATAGCCCTCCAAAATCTCAACTGCCCCACATGGGGGCAGAGCCAGCCCTTTTTGTGTCTCTGCCCTTCCTACTAGTCTCTGTGTGGCTTCTTCTCTATGTCATTTTAAGACTTCTGTTCAGCTAGTCTTCAGTTGGTTATTCAGGTTGATTGTTCTACGATTTAGTTGTAATTCTGATTTGGTCCTAGGAGGAGGTGAGTGTAACTTTCTCCCACTCTGCTCCTATCTTGGATCCCTGTTTTCAGTTCTTTGGGATATATATGCGGGTGTCCAACCAGTGGCCCATGGGCCGCATGCGTCCCAGGATGGCTATGACTGTGGTCCAACACAAAATCATACATTTGCTTAAAACATTATGAGATTTTTTGTGTCTGTGTGATTGTGTCACAATGTATTTAATGCATGGCCCAAGACAACTCTTCTTCCAGTGTGGTCCAGAGATACCAAAAGCTTGGACACCTCTGGTAGGAGTAGAATTTCTGGGTCATATGCTAATTTCACACTTGAATTTTAGAGATGGGAATTCCCTGTTGAGCCTGAAAGTGCGCAGGGCTGGGGTTTCACGGTCAGATTCATTGACACTGGGGATGCAGGTGTTTATTCTCTGCCAGGATGACAGGCCCTCCCATGACTCTCACAGGGTCCTCCCCTTGCCAAGGTGGGGGTGTTTGGACCTTGATTGTCCTGAAGATGAATAAATCTGGGAGCGAGAGGCTGGGGCCTGCCTTGGTCTCACAGTGCGCAGTTCCCTAAAACAGAATGAAAACCGGAAGTCATCAGCTCAGAAGTGTTTCCTTGCCGTTGTAATGCATTTCTTTGGGATGAGCCTTTGAGCTATTCCTTTCCAAGGGAAAAAAATCCTGGATAAGTCTCTCTCCTTGGAGCCTGTCCTGAGGCAAGTGGAGACCAGTCTTTGGCTGATGGAGTCCTGCATCCTAGAACTGAATGGGTGTAGTGGATGCAGGGAAACTGAGTTCCAAGGTCAGGTGTAGCTGCTTCTAGACCCAAGGGTCAGGGCCCACAGAGGGCTCCCCATGCCTCCAGCAGATAGGTAGGGGTGGCCCAGAAGGAGTAGGAGGGGTACCTGTGTTGCTGGGAAAAAGCAGGAGCCTGCACCAGCAGCCTTGGTTCTCAGTCAGCCCCTCCCCACAGCACCGCTGCCCCCACCCTCCCAGCTGCAGGAGGTGGCAGTCCCCATTGTGGGGAGTGAGGTCTGTGACCAGCGCTACCAGAACTCTTCAAACAACATTGGCCAGATCATCAAGGATGACATGATGTGTGCTGGGAGTGAGGGCCAGGACTCCTGCCAGGTGAGACCACTGGCTGCCTCCATCCCCTGTCCTCTGTCCCCTCCTAGTCTGTGCAGTCAGGAATCAGAAGCTCCATTGCACATATGGAGGTGTTGGCTGAGTCCTGACTCTTCCCACAGGGTTTCTCTGGGGGCCCCCTGGTGTGCAGCTGGAAGTGCATGTGGATCCAGGTAGGGATTGTGAGCTGGGGAGATGTCTGTGGTCATCGCAACTTCCCTGGAGTGTACGTCCGAGTGATGAGCTACATTTCCTGGATCCGGCAATATGTCCCTTTGTTCCCTGGACCTTAGATGAGGTGAGGGGATTCCCTTGCTTCTTTCCCAATTCCAGCCTCATCCTCCCAAACCTCCTCACCCTTCACCCCCCCGTCACAGAGCTGAGCACCTCCTGCCCCCTCCTAGTCTCCCAGTTTCCCTGACTTTAGGGTGGCAGATACAGGAAGGTGCTCTGAAGGCTGGTGTCCCTCACAGTGGGTTGGGCCAGGGGTTAGGGGCCTGGACCCATAACCTCCTGCTCACCTTCTCTTTCTCATTAAATTTGGAAAAGGCAGCTCCAAACGGTAGCTTGGGATGGTGGCATGGACTCATTATGGCATTGACTGAGGGAGCAGGGGGTCCTCCCTGAGAGGTCCCTGGGCCCCACGTCTCCATGGTTGGGCTTGGGAAGGTTTTCCGGGGTACTGTTCCATGTGTTGGCATTTCTGGAAGCACAGGTGGGTTATCCTTGCCCCAGTGTCCCTCCCTCCCTCCTTCCTCTTTTGTCTTCCTTTTCCTTTCTTCCTCCTCTTCCTCCTTCCTCCTTTTTCCTCCCTCCTCCTTTCTATTTTCCCTCCCTGCTCTTCTATATTCTTCTCTTTCTCTCATTTTCTTCCTGTATCATCCCTCCTTCCCTTCCTTAGTTATATTTGATCAAAGGTGCCCAGCGTGGGCAAGGTCTTGGGAGTAAGGCGTTCACTGAGTTGGTTCCTGGGCTTCTAAAATCCACAGGGAGGCGAGGACAGACAAAAGCACGGCCGTGAGTGTGGGACATGGTATGGAGGTGAGTAATGGAGACAAAGCTGGAGTGACACAGGACATGGACCTGTTGGGGAGGGTTTGACTGGGCTGAGCTGCCAGGCTGGCTCCTGAAGCATGAGCAGGATGGGATCGGGGGAAGGGGCTCTAGGCCGAGGAACAGAGGGGGCGGTGACAGAGGCGTGAGCTCGGAATGGGGTTGAGGGGGTGAGAGCCATGCTTAGAGTGTACTTGAATGTCAGCCTGTTCAGTTTTCCACATCAGCATGTCAGAAACAGAGGAAGCTTTAAAAAAAACCCATAAAATATGAAAGAACATTTAAGATTCTAGGTAGATGGTTTAAAAGCCTTCAACTTCAGAGGCTTATTAGAGATTCAGAACCCTTTATAAGAAACTCAAAAAACTGTCTGGAAAAACTAAAAACCAGTGTTTGTACAAAAATATCCAAGAATTTTATAGAACCAAAGAAAAATGGGAATCCTCAGTGGGAAGTACCCTGTGAATATTCAGCAGATTAAATATAAATGAATCCTGCCCTAAACCCATTTTAGTAAAACTGCAAAATGTAAACATTAAGAGCCAGCAGGAGCAAGTGATCGTTTAACCTAAAAAGAAATGACTGTCAGACTCAGTAGACTTCTGATCAACAACAATACATAGTAGGAGGACCTAGAGCAATACCATTAAAGTGGAAGGAAAAAAATCACTGTCAATATAAAATTTTACTCCCAGATAAACTATCATGCAACATTGATGGCAAAACAGTGATACTATAAAACACAAAACATGAAGAGTGTTTATCATCTACAGGCACTCATTAAAAGAACTATTAAGGCTCTCTTCCAGGAAGAAGAAATTTAATTCAGAGGAATGGTGTTGGACAAAGCAAATAAAGCGTTTATAGAAAAAACACCCTACCCTGCAGACCATTGTCAGAAAACACACCTGAATGGCCATACGCATTGATTGGCCTCCTTCATAATCAGAGAAATACCAAGGAAAATAAAAGGAAATACAATTTCACACTCATCAGATTGGAGAAAAATAAAAAAGTACAATGAAACCATGTATTTGCAAAGTTGTTGAGAAACGAGCATTCTCACCCCCACCATCAGTGGAGTTGATGTACACCCCTCTGTGCAGTGTGGAAACAGCTGGTACAGTTGCAAAGCATTTCATACCACCTGATTCAAGACCCTCACCCAAGACACATCTAGGGGGTATAGGAGGGGCTTTAATCCAGGTGGAGAGCAAGTGGCCCTGAATCCTACTTTGTTTCAGTCATACAAGGTGAGGGTGCAGCCGCATTGCCCACCCCCGCCAGCTTGGGGATTGGTCTGCAGGTGAGTAAGGGAGGATCCAGCGTCAGTCCCATCTGGGGCCCGGAGGTGGCTGAGACACACACCTGCCTGATCCACCTGTCTCTGCCCTGTTCTGTAGCATCTACAAGCTCTGGAGTCTTGGAGAGTGTAGGCTCCAGGAGACAGTGAGGTCCTTTCTAGGGAAATTAGGACTCTCTCTCCTCCCTTCCCACCCATTTGTCCAGGGCCCTGAGAAGAGGCAGGCGCCTCAGAATCTGCCCCCATAGGCATGTGTCCAGGCTCAGGGCAGAGGAGGGCACTGTGTGGTGGGTGTCTAGGGGCCAAGGCCACGATGGGGCAAGGATATGGAGTGTGGGGCTGTCCCCTCATTCAAGTGAGTTGACACTCTGCCACAGGAGATGGGTTTCAAAGTCTGTGCCTCACTGGGAAGTCCCCAAACAGAGCCACAATGACCCCTGCCTGATCATGAAGGCCCCTGTGGGCACCTCGGCATGAAAGAGAAAGACCCTGTCAGAGGATCTGTAACCATGGGGGAGCCAGTCTCGGAAGTGGCTGGGAGAGTGGATGGAGACCACCACAGTTGGGGGCAAGAGGGGTCTTAGCTGCGAAACCCCAGAGACCTGTGGTTCCCCAGGGGGAAAGAGCACCGAGATACTGGGTCCTTAAGGCCCGGAGCCTGAACCCCTTCTGACATAGCATTCTGGGGGTCTGGACCCTGGGGAAGGGCTGGAGTGGGATCTGTTTGCTGAGCAGGGCTGCTCTTGGCCATCTGGGCGCCGGGCACTTGCTGCCGAAGCTGGTCTGCGTTTACTGCTGCAGAACTGACCTACTGCCCGCATGCCTGCCTGTAGTAGGGCCGCAGACCACCTCCCGTCAGGACTGCACGTGCCTCCTTCCTGGAGATGACTGGCGGAGGAGCTGAAGGACCTGCAGCTGCCCCTGGAGCTCATACAGGAACAGTCAAGTGCGCCTTCCATTCACTCAGGGGTGGGGCAGGCCAATTGGAAGAGGTGGTGGCATTCAACTGTGAGTACCCCCTTCTTCCTGCCAGCCCTGGACACGAGACCCAGGTGCACTTCATCCTGGGCTGAGCCGCTCAGCCTGAGTTCTGACCTCCTAGAAGTCTGTGCAGGACTGTATGCATGTCTGCATATATGTGTGCATGTGTGCCTCTCTGTATGCATTTGCATGCATGTATTGGGCTGGCCAAAATGTGTTTAGTTTTTCTTCCGTAAAATAAAGGACACTTTTTTTTTCATTTTTACCAATAACTCTATTGATTTGGATGTTTTTAGTATGTCAGCTATCTCCCGCATGGCAGAACACTGATTTTTCTCAATGCCTCTATTTGATCATTGTCAACTTCAACTGATCTACCTGACCATGGAGCATCATTCAGCGAGAACTCTCCAGCACGAAACTTCGCAAACCACTTCTGACACATTCGATCAGTCACAGCATCTTCTCCATACACTGCACAAATCTCTTTTTGCATTTCAGTTGTGTTTTTATCTTTCTTGAAATAATAAAGCATAGTATGCTGAAGATATTGCATATTCTTTTCCATCTTCAATATTGAAATGGCTATACAAAAATTCACCAATTTTGGTAAGTTTTTTTTAAATGCGTGCTGATGTGACAGCTGTCACACTACAATCTAACAAAATCGTTTCGAATGAAGTTAAAGACACCTAAACACTACTAGAGCCACCATCGGAAAAAGCCAAACAAACTTTTTGGCCAACCCAACGTGTGTGTACATGTATGCATGCATGCGCTTGAGTGCAGATGTGCAGACGTATGTCTCGGTGTATTCATGTGTGTGCACGCATGTGCCTGTATGTACACTGGTATACTCATTGTCACGTATGTCCCTGGCTTCCCTCAGCCTTTCAGAAGGGCGGCTGCCCAGGACCACATGAGTGCTGGGCTCAGCTGCCCTGTATGTTATCACTCCTAACCCATGGTCTCCTTGAAGGCTCTTTTTCCATTTTCACACTGGTTTTTCAAATGTGTCCCCTAGGTCTCCTCACTAAAGGTGACTTCATTATGAGGGAAGACCCCATTTGCATTTCTAGGCTTTGCATCCAGCCACAACTGTGACCAGGTCCCCTGGGAGCACTGGGCCTCAGGGTTCTTGGGGTGCCTCCTGCCTGGAGTCCTTGGGTCCTGGGTGCTGTTTGAAGAATCAGCTTGGGGGAAAATGAACAGGCTGCCTGGGTCCTCCCGAGGCGGGGCACTGGCCTTTCCCCCCCAACCCTGGGCTGAAACCGCCTCCGAGCACCTCCCCTACGCTGGGCATGAGGGAGGCTCCTGGTGCAGCTGCGCGCCAGGGTGGGCTGGAGCTGGGATGCCTGGTCTGGGGTATGGCTGGGGAGGAGATGGGCCTCTGGTGCCCGTGTTTCCCACAGCGAACACAAAATGCCACCACCAAAATACCGCAGCGCCTCAAGCGTTGGGAACAAATTGGATGGGACATGGAGTCCTCACTTCTAGAGTCATTGAGAGGTTCCAGCTGAGTCCGTACTGATGCCCCCGCCCCCACCCCGGCCCTCAGGGCAGGGAAGAGCCCAGAGGGAGGACCTGGGGCCCATGCTGTCCCCTGCCCCGGAATGTGCCCTGGTAGCTGACGCCTCTCTCCTGGACCTCCTCCTCTCCCTTCAGCCGCAGCCTGCCATCTGAGGGTCACTTTGGGCTAAATGGGGACAATGAAAGCATCAGGCTCCTGGGGAGAAGCAGACTCCAGGCCCAAAAGAAGCAACTTCTTCATCCCCAAGAGAGTGGGTGTCCTAGACGAGGAAAGAGGGCTGGGGGGACGGGAGACTGGCTTGTGCAGAGAGGCCACTCCTACAATGCCTCCTTTGTGCCCCCACTTCCATGACTCTGTTCTTCTTTTCACTGAGTCACCGCTTCTCACAGTCCCTCATTTAGCAACTGGGCCCCGCCCAGCGCAGC